ATCTGCTAAAATAAACGTTTCTACGTCTTATAACGACTAAATATTGGAAAAGTATATAAGCGTGATAAACTACACAACTTTTGTTAATCTTAACAACCGCCGACTGTTGTTTTTGTTTTAAAATTCCAGTGAGCAAATGTGCTATATATTATTATAATGCTATTATTTTATATTGTGTCATTCAGTGGATACCAGCCAATGACGTCAGTAATGTATTCCTGCATAAATTAGCATAAGGCTTTTTTTCCAAAATGGCGGATAAGGATCCAACTTTATGTCAAATTTTCTCAACAGCAAAATTCAAAAGAGACACGAAAACACGAAATTAAGTATTCCATAGCTATCTATGATAAACGTATGAAAAAAAAATTTTCGTTGCCAATGTCCTTTAAGTGTTTTAAATACAGTGATTTATAAACAAAGACGTCAATATTTCAATTTTTGTTTAATGATAAATTGAGGACAATTGAATGTGATTTTGACAAATTTTGAAAACTATTCATTAAAAATCATTTCAAGTTTAAGTTCAATCATGATGCAGTGGAATAATGTCAAATGCAAGTAGGATAGGTGTATGTACGTTCAATAAAGTCAAAGTCAGTCTACTTTTGATTATGAAACCAAGATCATTCGTCATTTTGGTCACATGACTTCCTAATATTTTGAAAATCGTAATTGAAATTGATAATTAATTAACAACAATATTTTAATTGCGGAAAAGTTCACCTTCTTCAAGGCATCAATTCCCATTCTAGCATATCAAGCAACGGATAAAATTTTACCCACAAAGAAACCTCGACGTTTTATTTTTGAAGATTTTCATCGTTAAGCTATATGATTCGTATTTTATGCCGTTCTCTAATTGACACAAACTATTTGTTTGGCGGGTAGCACGCCTCCTTTTTTCTATGAACTAAAAATGAGACTGATTTATTTTGATAATGACAAATATTCTTGAAAAATTTAAAGTTTTGACCTTACTTACTCCTTCCTCGATTTAAAATTATATAAATATTAGCTAAGACGGCGATTGAGTACATTCGTTTGATGCTCCTTGTTTGATAAGGTAATCTGTAATTTTTATTTGTCCGACCTATTAATCTCTTTTATATAACATGTTTTCGTGCTATCTTGCCCCAGCCCCCAGTTTCAAATCCGCTCCACAGTCACTAATGAGGTTAAATAAGAACGTTAAATTAGAGTTGAAACATAATATGTCATTTAACAATTTGAACAAATATTGACAAATTTATGTATAATTAAGCACAATCAATGTTTTTCTTTGAACAGCTCTAAGAAACAAACGATTCCCACTCATGAAGCGAGTTGGGGAAAACAAACAAGAAATATGCGTTGAATCTGAAGGAGAAAGCAAGCCACTAACAGGGAAACCATGTTCTTGGGCATCGTCACAACTTTGGGTGTCATTACGTAGAACTGAAGAAACTGTCTCCCTCATGAATGTTAAAACTTTACAATGCATGCATTTCATTCCTGATTGTGAAAAAGAACAAAGAACAGTTACTTTAGGTCAATGCAGCAAAAATAGTGGCTACGAACAAAAAGTTATGAACGAAAACGAAGACGAAGACGAAGACGAAGACGAAGTCGAAGACGAAGACGAAGACGAAACGAACGTACTCAGAGTTTTTGCTAGAAATTGCAGCAAAAAAATTAATGTGTTAATGAAAAAACAGCCCCGTGGTCAGAAACGATATTCGATAATCTATTCTCAAGATGGAAATGCAAATGAAGCTATAACTTGGCATTACAAAAATAACCATAAGAAAATAATCAAATACAAAGGTATGAGCAAAAGTTTGTACAGTAAACGTAAACAACGTAATGAATACGATAAATAAGACTATGATTCTATATGAATGCTTGTAAACTCAATAGAAACACGGGATCGACAATTAGGCGGTCGTTTTTGAAGCCAACTCTTTGTCAAAAAATTACAAAGTTGCAAATAATTAGTGTAAAGAAGTTAACATTATTTCACTCATGCATGGTTGGTTGTGCAACACCATCGACCGCTAGATACGTTAATGAAAATCGTCAAACTTACTTTTCATAGGGTGCTACCGTTTTTTTAACTCAACATTCATGTATTCTCTTGTGGGAAAGTCGTCCAATGGCATGCAAGAGCAAGCATTCTATGCTCCGCTGTTTCAAGGAAACGCCACATGCCGAGTAAACTGGTCCGAATCGAAGCAGCTTAATGAAACAAAATGGAGGAAATTAACGACACCCAACGACGATAAATTGATTTACGTGGAAAATAATTTAAGTGAAAATTTAAAAATTTTAAAGGTGAGACTGGCTGTACATTGATTGAACCGATTCGGGTGGACAGAAGAGAATTTTGCTAACCATAACTTATAGACGAAAATATAAGGACTTTTGAGCAATATCACACAATAAGAGGGTGGGGGAAGAGGAAGTCTGGAAAAGGAGAAGAATATTTGTTCAAATAACTTTTTATCCTTTGATGGCTAAGATTTTTGATTTGCTGGCCACACATTAGCAGCATACCTCAACGAATATTTGTTTTTCTTTTATTTTTGATAATCCAGGTGCAAAAGAGCGCATTAAATAAGTACCAGGGTTATTTGATGAAACTAGTAGTTACCTGTGAAAGCGAAACAACCAAAGAAAATCTTGAAAGTGAATCTCATTGTTTGCTCTTAAAGTTTCCAACAATACTAAAAGAGGTGAGTCTACCATTAATCCAATCTTTTTTTTGTATAATCACCAGGACACGATGTGTGCAAATCCATAATTTTGTTATGTCAAATTTATAAACATGGAAGGTATGCAAAACTTTTTTGGTTGATGCGTAACTATAAATTTAGTTCATGCATCTGTATTTTGCTGTGGATAAAAGACTTCGCAAAGACTTTTGCTAAAATGAAGTAAAGAGATAATGCATGATATAGGTGTCTGTGGCATACCCACTGGCGTAGCCAGCCCGCAAATTTGCTTTGTAAATTTTTCTGTAAAACCTTATTCCAGCCGACAATTTGAAAAAATGAACGAGAAAACACAATCTAAAAACACATCATCTTGTAAACTCAAGATTAGAGTTATAATAGCAAGAGACAAGATTTAAAGCAATAATTCGACAAAAGCGCTATTCATGTTGCAAACTGCCATGACGCGCAATAACCGACATTTTAAACTTACACGTTTGTGGATGTAGTCATGTAGATCGTCCAGGTTAGTAGAGTCCTGTGAAGGACTGTTGTTGTTGTTGTTGACGGAGATTTCGACAACCATAGCGGTAGTCATTTTCAGAGTCAAAGACGACTACCGCTAATGTTTTCGAAACGTCAACAACAAAAACAACAGTCTTTCTCAAGACTCTTCACATCTGGACGATCTACATCCACAAACACGTAACGATACTCTCGGGTTCAAACCATTTACATTATTTTCAACTTATATGACACAATTAATGACATAAATTTACCACATCACTTTTCTACTCATGATCACATTCTCAACAACACTAACACTTTGCACTGTCTTCATTACAACAATCCTAATCTTTTGCTTTTCCTTGAGGCGATTTATGTACGTTTTAAAAAGCCTCAGCTGAACTCTGGTCTGTGAAGGCTTCTAAAGAACTTGTATTTTTTTCCTAATTTCTTTGATGTAATTGTGAATAGTAACGCCTTCTAAAGAAAATATTTTTTTCTAATCCCTGGTCTAATTGTAAACAGTAACACCTTCTAACCTTTTTTTCCTTCGAATGCTTACGTTTATTCCTTTGTAGCTAAAAACAATATAAGATCACGCTTGCTTGTAAATAAACACCTAGCTTGATAATATAGAGTGGAAATATTCCTTTACACCTTGCCTTTTTCAGTTATAACTCGTAGCCAGTCAGCAACTGTAAACACAATACATTTCTATAGAAATTACATAGCGGGAGTATAACTTGCTGGCTGGCTAAGCTACTGAGCACAACTTCACTGTGGTTGACCGGGTTCTCTTTAAGTTACCTTTAATGTGTGGTCATTTTATATTTTGCCATCTTCGTGATGTATTTGGTAGTGGGATTGACTTCTTAAAAACATTTCTTAGACAACATCAGCAACCTCGAACAACAACGTCGACACAGACCCCGTCCAGATGACCACATCACCAACATCAAGTAGCAACTACACACTTCAACCCCACGAAGAACGTGAAGGAGGCTCATCTCAGGCAATTGTTATAGCAGTTTCTGTATCAATCGCAATCATTGTCCTTATGTTCGTCTTGTTTTATTTTGTGTGGTATCGAAAACATAAAAGGTATTAAAATAAATTTTATGCTCACACTTCTTCAAGGATCAGTCTTTCAATTGTGAGAAATTACGTACGCTGTGCGTACATGTGAGTAGTATCGAAAACATAAAAGATATTAAAATAAATTTTATGCTCTTGCTTCTTCAAGGATCATTCTTTCAATTATGCGAAAATAGGTACGCTGTGTGTACATTTGGGTATTATGGCATGGGTATACAAATAAAATTCTGTATGTTTAACGTACATAAAAACATACAAAAAAATATACTATTCGTTTGATTCTAATACAGTTTGACAAACCGTTTCTCTGAAATTTTTCTCCCAAATTTGAAAAAATTTGCTCTGTGCTCACGGTGTTGTCAAAACTAACTTTACACTTTTTCTTACAGAAATAAGAAATCGTCTCATGAAGAAGGTAAACTACTTTTTTGTATGCAGAGAAAAGTGGTAAAAGGCACATTTATAAAACAGTTTAATGGTAAAATGTTAATGGTAAAACGCATTTTTCTGCAAGTTTTCGTTCAAGCCATGATCATAAAATATATATGTTCGTTATTTTGGTTGCATGTCCTGTGTGTAGTGTCATAAACAATCAATAAATATAGAATTGCATTGAAGAAAGTTAAAGATTTTGGATGTTCGACAAGGTAAAACTTCGTTTTCAACTTTCTTACTAAGAAGTTCGCCTTTGACGTTTTATTTTAGGCCATCCCCTTAACCCAACGTACCAATCACAAACAGAACCAGAGTATGTAGATCCATTACAAGTGATCAATGATACAGGAATAAACACCGAGAACGATCAAGGTATTTTTCTTGCCTTTATCATTTTGCTTCTGAAAAAAAATCTCTTCCTTCAAAAGCTATGTTTATGTACGGGTGTTGTGAATGGGTTAGCTGCGCCGTGTGTAAACCGGTTTTGCTTGGGTTCACAAGAGTTTTTTCCATAGGGAGGTTGTAATTTCTATAGGGACGTTGTAATTAGAAGTTGTAAACAAGGAAACAAAGGTTAGGTACACATTTCTAGGGATAGAGTTGTCATGGTATTTATAGGAATTCATAGTTGGGTATGCTGAGGTTGGAATTGGGTATACATTGCTTGTTATGGCCAAATTTTGAATTCCATCGAAAACATTGAACAACATAAAGTGTAAATGAACCGATTAATCTACATCATTTTTTGTTGAACAGCTCAGACAAGGAACATTGTTGGATGCTGTAAGATAGTACAATGAAGACTTTGTCGTGGTGACAAGTGTAAAAATTGTTTCAAAAATAGCAATTGCCATGGTGGATGGTCAAAATCCCAAGATGGTCCAAAAGAGTTCTAAAAAGAACTGTTTTACAATACATCAACGAAATATAGTTCTACAAAGAAGAACTGTTTTAAAAACAGTTGATGCATTTCGGCGGACTACTCTTAAGGGGTGTCAACTTCGGCTAAATGAGATGAGAGATGACGCTTGAAACAGTTCACTTTTTCTTGCCATTATAAATATCCAATGATTTTAAGTTCTCATTTATCAGACGTTGAAACCTGATGAGTGGTCAGCGGAAATCCATCGTGTCTTTTAGTTTTAAAACAGTTGTTTTAAAACAATTTGGTTGGTGTTTTAGTTGTGAAACATTTCTTTTCAGAACTATCAAATTATTTTGGCCATCCTAAAAAATATTTACGATATTTTAAGATGTAACACTAGCACCTGAGGTCTTGAAACAGCGCACTTTGATGTTTCTAATTGTTATTTAAATTCTTTAGATTCGTCAGCAAAATATGAATACATTGATCATCTTAAATTGGCAAATTTGAAGTCAAAAAAGCCAGAACCGAAGTACGAGTGCGTTGATAACACTGAAATGCCTCAAGCACCAGATGTTTCAAAGATACGAGAACTGAAATATGACTATGCTACAGATGAAATACCGCGGCTCAACTTAAAACCTACAGCACCAGATGTTCCAACAGAACAAGAATTGAAATATGATTATGCTACGGATGAAATACCGCGGCTCAACTTAACAAAACCTGGAGCACCATTTTCTTCAAAAGAACAAGAGCCTAATTATGACTATGCCAATAGTACTCCGACGGTCAAGCTAAACAGTCAGACACCCTCATCTACCCTTAACAGTCCTTCAAAAGAGCCTGCCTACCATACATTGGAGGAACCCAATCCTTCACCATACTATTCGACGATAGAAAATGATGATGATAAAAGCTCGGAACACTCTACTATCGTATGAGCAAACTTTTCTTTATTTGTCTTATTTCTTCATCTGTCTAAAATTTAACTCACAGATGTAAAAAGCTGTAGCTACTTGACTTAATCGAACTATTTTCTAGCTTATCATGTAATGTAGAGCAAATACAACATAATGCAATGAATAGAACCCTCACTCGGGGGCTGGGAAAATACCTAATACTGCTAGTGCATCAATGCCTTCACAAATCAGCCATTGTTACGATTAGCTTATAACAACTCAGTTGTTGACATAATCTGTCAACATGTTCAATGAAGACCTCACAGATTAAATGGAAATAAACTTGCACTAAGGCAGCAACAGTATGAACTGCCAGCACTAAAACAGCATGTCATGAAGTTCATTCTCTGCTGAATTTTTGTCATCTTTCAACTAAAATGTTTATTACAACTTATTCAACTTTTTCTTTCATGTCTTAACTTAAGTATTATAAGTATAATTGTTTGTGTGTGTGTATGTGTAGGTATTTGGGTGTCTGCTTTTTAGGGCAATTAAAAAACAAGATCAACACCCTTCAGATTTGGTAAACAAAATTTATCTATCTTGACGAAGAAGGCTCGCCACGAAGAAGGCTCGTATATTTATGCTAATGTTAAAAATGATTTCAACATACAGAGTCAAGCTAATGAGCAAGAATCTGGCGCTCCAAATAATAAACACAACTTTAACACAACAAAATTTGAAAATCCTTAAACATATTTAGAAAATCCGTAAATGAAAAAAACTATACCCCGTTCATGAAAAACCACAAAAACAGAGAGTCAAACATTCATTCTTTCAGCAGTTGCAAAAAGAATCGATGCAAGACCATGGTAATACTTTCATGATTCCTATATTTCATGGCAATGAGCAACCAAACCAAAATTTCAAATAAAATAAGCTTTCAAAATAAATGATTCTTTACAATCAAGTGTCGTAAAGATTTTTTAAAAAGTTGGAAGATTAATTTACTGTCTATATGATTTTACACAAGTCGGATCTTGATTTTCCAAGATGATTTTACGCAGAAAGCGTTTTCCCATATTTCACGAAAATGTTATTTGTTAATAAAGAGTTCAGTGTCATAACGCGACAAAGCGACTATCAAATATGTTGGAGTATAGTTTTTTCTAATACAAAACTCTTTCCTTCGTTTGGTGATAAAAAAAACTATTGAAACATGGACAGTTTTCTTTTACGAAGAAAATTTGACTATTATAGTATTGAAAAATTTTAAAATCAAATACGACTTACCTTTGGAAGTTTCTTTAGAACTTTATCACTTTTAATACCGAGGAGTGAACGTGCACGTACGATGCACCAGCACACTGCTGTAAGGTCAGTCTTAAGAGAAAGAAATAACATTAATGATGATCTTCAATACATCGATCTGTACAATTTAACACATGGATAACCCGTCGATGAGATAATGGGCACATTAACTCTTTAATACAAAAATAAGTCAGTAGAAATATAATCAAATTTAAACTTTAGTAATGACTTGTTTAAGTGTTAAATTGAAATAGAGATGCAATAAACAAAAGACAAGGGCATTCTTTGATGATGTGGAAAAGTATACCTGAGGTCACAAAAATGGCCAAGGTTACACATAAATAGAAATTATGCATCAAGGAATACTATAACTTACTACTGAAGTATTGAAGTACTTAACTGAAGGTAGACACAAAGGCGAACAAAAAAGAGTACACAAAGATAGACATAAAGTTACTCTCAATGGTACATGCACATTAAGATAGAAAAAAAGGTGGACACAAGGATAAACAATAACGTGTAGACACAAAGGTATACACAAAAGTAGACTTGAAGGTGGACAAAAAATTATTAAGTAATTATTCATAACCTAGGTTTGCTCTCTAGGTTTTGCAAATTTTCAATCTACCAACGGTCGATCGCCACAAAAAATTCCCTGGAAATGGTCCGTATGATTAAATACGAAAATGTTCATTGATTTATGTTCACTGACCTGTTGTCCAATACTTCATGTATGTCCAATACATCATGTATGTCCAAACATTATTAAAAATACGAAACTTCGGGTTTTTTGAAGTCACTAGTGAAAATTTTTTTGCTATGTAATTGGAACTTGTTTACGGTATTGTTTACCGACGGCTTTAATTAAAAATATTGCGTACACACACTGACAGTGGCTCAGAGACAGGGAAACCTGCATAAGAAAGCGATATTTGCTTATGTCGTGACCATTCTGTAATAAATATTTCTGCTTTTCAAAAGGTAAAACAAATCAATCGCCAGAGACGAGACATTTTGAATGATTAAATTTAGGCTGCGTTTATACTATACCGGATTCGCTGATCACGACATCTTCATTTGCTTTAAAGGTGTAACTGTTCGGAGTAAAAGCTTATCAAGCTGATAGATTTAGTCTATTTGATTGTGTTTTTGAAGTTGAACAATTTCACTGCTTTTTAATATAAAGAACATTCAACTTGCTACGATAGCAATCGGGTATAGTGTAAACGGGGCCTTAGATTCTCTTGCCCCAGTTCGTGAAAAGGTCTTTCCTTTGTGACCCACCCACGCGAGCACTTACAGATTGCTACACATATGGTTATAATAAAGCCTGTTTTCCACTAGCCACGTATCGTAACGTATCGTAGCAAAACGTAACATGGCGCATGCGTGCTTATGAATTTAATAGTCAATAGGCACAAGCACGCATGCGCCATGTTACGTTTTGCTCTAATACGTTACGATACGTGGCTAGTGGAAAGCAGGCTTAAGTATTTAATGCTTTCAGTCAAACCTTTTAAGCTGAACAATTTACAACTGTAGACGATTAAAAGTCTTCAGTATACAATTGCAGATACGAAAGTACGATTTTCCAGTCCATTCGCATATTTGGCAAGAATCAAGACCAAGGCTTAAAAGGATAATGATAATGCGACTTATTTTAGCGGCGTGCTTCCTCTTCATTTTATGCTGTCACAATGGCAGCGAAGCCATGTCATTCAAAATTGAGCGAGGAGAATTGGATACATTTAGGAATATAGAGTGTACAGAACAGGGCAATTGTACAGAAAGACAGTGTGAAATATATGGCGCCAACTGCGTAAAAAGTAAAAATTGCACACGATGTCAATGTAAAGATGGTAGAGGAACGTTTCTTTCAACTAACGGTGACAATACTTACAACTGTATCAAAGATGAAGATATAGTCCCAGAATCTGGTAAGATGAACAGGGTAATAAATAATAAACTTAATCTACATGCAAATATGGTGGCTAATTGTTTAAGTGTTTTAAATGCAGTGATTTATAAACAAAGATGTCCATATTTCAACATATGTTTGAAGGTAAATTGGGGACAATTGGATAATATGGGATTTTGACAAATTTTGACAACTATTCGTTCAATCATAATGTTGTGGAATAATGTAAAAATGAAAGTAGCACAGGTGTATCTTTGTTCAAGGAAACCAAAGTCAATATACTTTTGATTACATAAACTAACTCATTCGCCATTTTGATCACATGACTTCCTAATATTTCGAAATTGGTAATTGAAATTGATAGTTAGTTAACATCACTATTTCAATCACTAGGAAGTTCGTATATTTGAAGGCATCAATTCCCATAGCATATCAGCAGCGGTAAAATCTTACCCACAAAAAACCGGACAATTTTTGTTTTATAATTCTCATCAAATAGTAGTAACCTTTCTTCTTCCTATAGACTTGAAATTCTATAAATACTATTAATGAAGTCGATTAAGTATAGTTTGAAGTTTCTTGTTTCATGAAGCGAGTTGGGGAAAACAAACAAGAAATATGCGTTGAATCTGAAGGAGAAAGCAAGCCACTAACAGGGAAACCATGTTCTTGGGCATCGTCACAATTTTGGGTGTCATTACCTAGAACTGAAGAAACTGTCTCCCTCATGAATGTTAAAACTTTACAATGCATGCATTTCATTCCTGATTGTGAAAAAGAAAATGGAACAATTACTTTAGGACAATGCAAAAAAAATAGTGGCTACGAACAAGAAGTTATGAACGAAAACGAAGACGAAGACGAAGACGAAGACGAAACGAACGTACTCAGAGTTTTTGCTAGAAATTGCAGCAAAAAAATTATTGTGATCATGAAAAAACAGCCCCGTGGTCAAAAACGTTATTCGATAATCTATTCTCAAGATGGAGATGAAAATGAAGCTATAACTTGGCATTACAAAAATAACCTTAAGACAATAATCAAATATAAAGGTACGGGCAAAAGTTTGTACAATAAACATAAACAACGTAACGCATACGATAAACATGACTATGATTCTATATGAATGCTTGTAAACTCAATAGAAACACGGGATCGACAATTAGGCGGTCGTTTTTGAAGCCAATTCTTTGTCAAAAAATTACAAAGCTGCAAATAATTAGTGTAAAGAAGTTAACATTATTTCACTCATGGATGGTTGTACAACACCATCGACCGCTAGATACGTTAATGAAAATTGTCAAACTTGCTTTTTTATAGGGTGCTACCGTTTTTTTAACTCAACATTCATGTATTCTCTTGTGGGAAAGTCGTCCAATGGCATGCAAGAGCAAGCATTCTATGCTCCGCTGTTTCATGGAAACGCCACATGCCGAGTAAACTGGTCCGAATCGAAGCAGCTTAATGAAACAAAATGGAGGAAATTAACGACACCCAACAACGATAAATTGATTTACGTGGAAAATAATACAAGTGAAAATTTAAAAATTTTAAAGGTGAGACTGGCTGTACATTGATTGAACCGATTCGGGTGGACAGAAGAGAATTTTGCTAACCATAACTTATCGACGAAAATATAAGAATTTTTGAGCAATATCACACAATAAGAGGGTGGGGGAAGAGGAAGTCTGGAAAAGGGGAAAGATATTTGTTCAAATAACTTTTGATCCTTTGATGGCTAAGATTTTTGATTTGCTGGCCACACATTAGCAGCATACCTCAACAAATATTTGTTTTTCTTTTATTTTTGATAATCCAAGTGCAAAATAGCGCATTAAATAAGTACCAGGGTTATTTGATGAAACTAGTAGTTACCTGTGAAAGCGAAACAACCAAAGAAAATCTTGAAAGTGAATCTCATTGTTTGCTCTTAAAGTTTCCAACAGTACTAAAAGAGGTGAGTCTACCATTAATCCAATCTTTCTTTAGTATAATCATCAGGACACAATGTGTGCAAATCTATAATTTTATTATGTCAAATTTATAAACATGGATAGTATGCAAAAATTTTTTGGTTGATGCGTAACTATAAATTAGTTCATGCCTCTGTATTTTGCTGTGGATAAAAGACTTCGCAAAGACTTTTGATAAAATGAAGTAAAGAGATAATGCATGATGTAGGTGTCTGTGGCATACCCACTGGCGTAGCCAGCCCGCAAATTTGCTTTGTAAATTTTTCTGTAAAACCTTATTCCAGCCGACAATTTGAAAAAATGAACGAGAAAACACAATCTAAAAACACAATCTAAAAACACATCATCTTGTAAACTCAAGATTAGAGTTATAATAGCAAGAGACAAGATTTAAAGCAATAATTCGACAAAAGCGCTATTCATGACCATGTTGCAAACTGCCATAACGCGCAATAACCGACATTTTCAACTTACACGTTTGTGGATGTAGTCATGTAGATCGTCCAGGTTAGTAGAGTCCTGAGAAGGACTGTTGTTGTTGTTGTTGACGGAGATTTCGACAACCATAGCGGTAGTCATCTTCAGAGTCAAAGACGACTACCGCTAATATTTTCGAAACGTCAACAACAACAACAACAGTCTTTCTCAAGACTCTTCACATCTGGACGATCTACATCCACAAACACGTAACGATACTCCGGGTTCAAATCATTTACATTATTTTCAACTTATATGACAAAATTAATGACATTAATTTACCACATCACTTTTCTACTCATGATCACATTCTCAACAACACTAACACTTTGCACTGTCTTCATTACAACAGTCCTAATCTTTTGCTTTTCCTTGAGGCGATTTATGTACGTTTCAAAAAGCCTCAGCTGAGTTCTGGTCTGTGAAGGCTTCTAAAGAACTTGTATTTTTTTCCTAATTTCTTTGATGTAATTGTGAATAGTAACACCTTCTAAAGAAAATATTTTTTTCTAATCCCTGGTCTAATTGTAAACAGTAACACCTTCCAACCTTTTTTTTCTTTCGAATGCTTACGTTTATTCCTTTGTAGCTAAAAACAATATAAGATCACGCTTGCTTGTAAATAAACACCTAGCTTGATAATATAGAGTGGAAATATTCCTTTACATCTTGCCTTTTTCAGTTATAACTCATAGCCAGTCAGCAACTGTAAACACAATACATTTCTATAGAACTTACATAGCGGGAATATAACTTGCTGGCTGGCTAAGCTATTGAGCACAACTTCACTGTGGTTAGCCGGGTTCTCTTTAAGTTACCTTTAATGTGTGGTCATTTTATATTTTGCCATCTTCGTGATGTATTTGGTAGTGGGATTAATTTCTTAAAAACATTTCTTAGACAACATCAACAGCATCAACAAAGCCAATGACAACGTTTAGGAAATCAAGTATATTTAATAAAGGGATCATAACATCAGCGCCAACCTCGAGCAACAACCACACCCTCCAAACCCACAAAGACTGGGAAGAAAGACTTATGTACACAATTGCTTTGTCAGTGCTTGTATCAATCTTGGCCGTTGTCCTCATCCTGTTCTTGATATTTTATGTGTGGCATCGAAAACATACAAGGTATTAAACTGCTTCCTATGGTTCCACTTTTCAAAGGATTAATTCCCCTATATAAACAACAAAATAAATGCGTTATTGAATACAGTGATACACAAATATATTGCAGCCACTACACATTGCAAATCCAAAGCGAGAAAGTCAGTTCAATTGTCTTCAGGCTTCTTTGAGATCACTTACTGATGAATTATGCAAACTCTAGATGTTTGCTGACATCCAAGATGACCACTTTTTCCAATACAACATGTACATCATACTTGACTTCCGAATAGTTTGTCGTTACAACTAGTTGAAATAACCAATCTTTTGCAAATTGCAGCCTATAGTACATTTTGCAATTCGCAATTACGTTATAAATAGGATTTATGAGTACGAAAGTTTGGGTTTAATAATTGACCAACACTTATCTTGGAAGAGTAACACTGATAAAATTTGCAAAAAAGTAGCAGCCGGTATTTTTGCCCTTAGAAAATTAAAGCAATACACTAACAAACACTTATCGCTATTTATAATGCCCTGGTACAACCTACTTCACATACTGCTGTGAAGTTTGGGGTGTATTGGGGGAATCTCAATCCTAAAGACTACAAAAGCTTCAAAATAGAGCTGCAAAACCTATTCTAAACCTGGGCAATAATATCGATCATTGTAACGCATTACAAGAATTGAAAGAATTGAAGTGGGAACCTCTTGAAATACTTGGAAAAAAAGCTAAAGCAAAGCTGATGTATAAATTATTAAAAAATGCAAGACCAAATTCACTTACTAGATTGTTTATCTATAGAAAAGACATCACTGATTACAATCTACGCAATATTACAAGTTTTCTTGATGTTCCTATGCCTAGTACTAACTCCTTGAAGAAAAGCTCTGCGTATGAAGGGGCTTCTGTTTGGAATTCAATTCCAAAAGAAATCAGGAATAGCAAAAGCGTGTCTCTTTTTCAAAACAAAATTGCTGCTTGCGCTTTATGATTTGGCTTAACATGTAACTATAAACTATCTGAATATTTTATTTAATTATTCTTTCTTCACCCTCATCAACCCAGTTTTTAAAGATTTTCATTCACATTCATTCATTTTCATTCATTCACTCACTCACTCCACTCACTCACTCACTCACTCACTCACTCACTCACTCACTCACTCACTCACTCACTCACTCACTCACTCACTCATCCACTCCTCCACTCACTCACTCACTCACTCACTCCTCCTCACTCACTCACTCATCCTCACTCACTCACTTCACTCACTTCACACTCACTCACTCACTCCTCCTCACTCCTCCTCCTCCACTCACTCACTCACTCACTCACTCCTCCTCCTCACTCACTCACTCACTCCTCACTCCTCCTCTCCTCATTCACTCACTCACTCACTCATTCATTCATTCATACTACAGATGTACTACGAGATGCACTATTACGATAAGATTAGTTTTTCTTAGTAAAAAAGTACAGTAAATACATAAATTAGGATTTTTGAAATGTTTCTGACACAATATAAAAGGATAAAAACTTATTATGTTTCCGTCAACAAAATTTATCTTTTATATTCTCTTTTTAACATTTAGAAAACTAGACGTGAAGTGCTTGACTCCCATGGTAAGTATATTCACTGAAAATGAAAGATAATGATGTATCAAAAATGACATCCCACAAACGAATGGAAAAATCGTCATTCTGATGATCGCTACACAGATGAATAATATGATTTGCGACAGCAAAAGTGTTTCTTTGTATTTCACTCTAGAATTAGCAAACCAACGAGCCGAAAATCTCTTGGAAACTGAACCAACCGGAGTGGAAGGGAATTTTTTTATGACCTCGACAACTCAGGGTGAAGAAGAGACGTATACGTATGCCAATTATGAAGAAGAAAACAAAACACAAAGTCGTGCGTGTGAGCAACCAGCTGGTGATTCTAATAACAAACACAACATAAAAACAACAAAATTCGAAAGGCCACTCACACATCAAACAGCAAATAAAGACAACTATACCCCATTGATGAAAAACCGTACGAGCAGAGACCCGAACAGCCATTATTACCAGCACTTGCAAAAAGAATCTATCCAAATCAATGGTAATAATTCCATGCTCTCTTTATCTCATGGCAATAAACAACCAAACCAAAGTGTTGAACCGGAGTGTATCAGTGATTTCGTTATCTCAAATGATGCAGGGACAAGCGTTTATAGCAAAAAGCAACCAAAACCAGAAAAAAGAACCTCGTATACTGGCAAATATGCTATCTCAAATGACATTGAATACACGACAATTGCTCGCAATAACAATACGAATAACACAGTTAGAAAGGTCGCGAATTCTAACGATGAAGACCCATTTCAATTTGTTGAATCCAATGTCCACGGATATGAACCGTTGATGAAAAATCGCAGGAGTAGTGACCACTACTACCAACACTTGCAATAGAATGGCAAAGAAGGAACATACTGTGGAATTTGTTGTGAATATAAAACAAGTAATTTCCAACGTTGGGAGACCATTGCAAGAAATAACTTTTCAAGCTAACGTGGTTTTAACGGAGTGAAGCGACCTACATAAGCTACGACATTTTCAAACAGCAATTCTACTTATAAATTGAGCAAATTGTATGAATTAATGCAATAGCATTTTCTTTGAGACAATTCCACTTTTGCCCTCCTGTTGACACAATTAAAGACCCCCAATGAATTAGGCATTTTCAACCGCTGTAACAGGAAATTTGCTCCTCCTCTAAATTTCCCGGGAAATTTGGTCCCACGGAGCACTTTTTCTAGGAAATTTGGCCTCCTTGTCAGAAATAAAATTTCTACGAGTTTATAAGCATGATTTTTTGTTTGCTTGAATGTTTTATAAAGCCGAATGCGTTTTAGAAATGTACGAGTATTGATTTGTTTAAAATCACTAACTTTGCTTAAGCGCAAAAATAAGAACTGCCATTTCTGGGTTGTACTCCAATGAAGTGAAATTTGCTTTTATTTTTTTATTGACTTAAAAAAGTATTTAAATGCTTGCAAGCAATTTGATATATCTATCAGCTCATTTTACGCTGAGTGGAACTTAACAAATGTTAATTGCAAAATTCGTCCTTGTATGTGAACTTATTTGGCTGCCATGTTTCCTCATTTGACGTCATGTAAGTAGTACGGAAGTCGCGCCTCGCTAAGCTAATGCAGTAATTTCTAACAGACAAACCCGCACTTTTCATGGCTACGAAATCGGTCAAAATGCCAATTTCAATTCTTTTTTTCATAAAAATGATTTTAAAGAGCATGCACTTTTTAAGACACCATTAATACAGAGTGCAAAAATTTCACTGTATTAGCATTAAAGAACAGCATGTTTATCAGGAATGAAAAAAGACACACGAAGTTAACAAATATACAAACATGAGACGATGTTTACAACAACCAAATAATTACTAATGCAAATAGCGTGACTCGTGCAAATGCATGCAATGTATCTAAATTGCAAAACGCAAAGAAGAAACGGTTGTTTAAACAAGGAACCGTACCACAACAGGACCATTGGCAACAGAAAACTCAAATGGATTTTAAATTTAGTGTTAGGAGGATGCTTTTAATTTTCACCATATGTTATTCCAAATGCACCAATGGCAGCAAACTGAGAATATACCGTCATGAACGAGATATATTTACCAACTTAGATTATTCAAGTGCACAAACTGAAAGAAATTATAGTTATGATTGTATGAAGTACAATGACAAGTGTTATAACATAACTGGGTGTCGGTATTGTGAATGTAAAGATGGAGCGAATACTTTTATTATCGATAACAATGACAAGAATCGCAGAGGAAGTTGCATCAAGGATGAAGAATTGCATCTGGAAGGAGGTAAGATCTAACAATTAAGTAAACAACCACAAATAAACCTTTAAAAGTATCACATCCAGGGAATTGCGAGAGAAATTGTGCATTGACAAGGTTTATGATCGTTTCGATGTAAAATAAAAAATAAATTATAGTATCTCAATGGTAAATCAGGAGAACCATTAAAACCGTTCAACTGCATGCTTTTAAATTTCCGAAGAATTAAAGCTTACAAATCGAATTGCTTTCAAATTATTTTGACGATAACACTACCAAAAATGAGATGCAGTAAGTTTTGTCTAGAGCTACTTCAAAAATTCTTTCCGAACTGACCCAATGGGAAAAGTGTTTCCTTAACAATAAAAATCACATTGTGAATAAGCCGTTGTTATAAATCTCTTTCTTGACTTCACGATTAAAATAATATTCTCTTTAAATCGTAAAGTTTTTCTTTCTCTACACTGGCAACTTTCCACGGAACATTGTCCACGTGCGATTATCCACGCAAAATAAGATGAACTTGACGTAGCTTTAAAATCAGCTGGCGGAAAAGATGTCAAACATATCCCTCAATTTCCTGTTGTTGTCGTTTTTACAGACTCTTACGATGATGCATTCAATCTTGAAAATACGGTGACGAAGAAGTGTTTGAAACAATCTGACGTGTTCGTGTATAGTACGTCTTGTGGCGATTCATTCGATCAGAAATGGATACGTCTCGATAGAGTCAATAAACAACTGATGAATGTGAAATCACTTCGTTGTATCACATTGGGAGGAAAAGATGCACTAGTAACAATGCAACCATGTCAAAAATCAAAATCGGATTTTCAAAAACTAGCGTGCTACCAAAGAAACAAGAAAGGAAGAATTTTTTGGTCGTTTTTTACTTCGTTTCTAGCAGAAGATCAGGCTGGAGTGGGCGTTTCGGGGTACAATCGCGGTCAGTTTTGGAAAGCACATCAAAATGACAGTAAAATGAACGTTTGCAAGTTAACAGATTACAAAGGTTAGAGAACAAGACTTGTGAAAAACGCCGCTCAATTTCACCAATCTTATTGTTATTGACAATACTATAACTTTAAATAGAAATTATAAAATTCTATAAGAGAAAGGTCGCAACGCCTTTCTGAGAATCCTTAACTTCACGCAATTCTAATTACTTCGCAAAAAGACTACATGTCCACCAGATTGTTTTATGGTCAATATATTCATCTTCCACAGGCTGCTATCGTTTTTCTGATGGCAATTTCGTGAAATTTTTGAAATTCAACCAAAGCGCAAACGTGGAAAATTTTCATATTTCTGCACCGATCTACGACGAAAATGACAATTGTAAAGTGGAAAAAAATTCACGTTTACAAAAGACGGCAAGGAAACGTACCAAGAGGATTCAAAAAATCTTTTTACAATGAACAGTGTTGACAAAATTACCAAAGAAATCGAGGTAAAAACGATATGAAAAAGACACATGGTGTCACAAAACATAAAAAACATCGTTCAATAACAACATTTGTTATTTTGATCAAAAACATGGACGCTCTACGACGATGGAATGGTATGTTATTGAGAATTGATATAACATTCGGGAAGTCGTACAGCATGAAAGAAACTCACTGTATTCTCCTAAAACTGCCAACTTTATTGGCATTAGGGCATGAGGTAAGTTTCTTGACGTAGCATGGGTAGCACAACCTAAATCATTTTGCATCACAATAGGTAGTAAAGAAGACAACGGACAACACGCAATTCTTGTACTATACGTCACCAAATTTCGTAAATTTTAACGACATTTAAAAGAGAACATTTGTGGGTCCAGGATAAGCTAATGCTAATCATTATAAAGGACTATTAGCACAGCAAAATGGTTTTTGCTTAAGAAATAAAAGATGTTTGCTGTGTTTGCACGGGCTCATGTAAAACGAGGAGACCTTTGGGAGAAATCGAGAGCTGATCAGTGCAAGGCCGAGACCGAAGATCGAGTGTTAGGCTCTAAAATGTATTCATGATCGATTTGCAAATTCTCTTTGACTGATTGATTATTTCGATTGATTAGATTGGTTGAGCTCAGATGTGCTTTACGCAGGCAAATGCAAACACGGCTCTAGACCAATCACTGCACGCGTTCTATTGTTTTTATTTTATAACAATACATAGTGTATACTATACCATTACAGGAAACTTCACCAACGAGCACTAGTCCACTATCCAGAAAAGGTGTGAAAGGTACGGCAAAATCTGAAGGTACCACGTCAGTCTTTATTGGAGGGATAGTCCTACCAGTCGTAGTGATGATTTTGAAATAAGGACGGAGTGTTACTTTAAATTTGTCTATGATTTTAAGCTTGTCAAATCTTGAATTTACACGATGATATGTTACTCAAAGAATTTTTTGTATGATTCTTAAAATATCAAAGGATTTAGTAAAGCATGAATCCAGGGATGTGTGAAACTATCGAAGCGAGGCACAGAAAATTGGTGACAAGCTCACATCCAGGTAAAATGGTTACCCACTTCACCTCGCGATATTGAAGACGCTTTTCTTAATATTGAAGTACATTGAAATGAACTCGATTGATTAAGAATTTATGTGTAATTGATTGCAAGAAGAAAGCTCAGAAATTATATTAAACCTGTTTTCAGTAACGGCAAGTGTTTGGTTTGAATGCATGACAATGTGGCCATGACTAATAGGTTGAAGAAGGGAAGTACACATGTAACGGTGATGTTACTAAAATTACATTTTACCCTGGTTCAGGTATATCATATCATAGGAGTGGAGTCAATGTGAATTGGTTATTCAGGTTCATTTCATCTCACTATATGAAAAACAGAGATGAAGTTTCTATAAACTTAAGCTAACTACTAAATAAAGTCTCATTTTAACAAAAGGTATTGTTAATAAAATGATAAATAAATCTATATTGACACACCCGCACTCCTCGACGGCTCATACTAAACATTGAAAAAAGCTTTAATGAACTATAAAGAAACATAAACAATCCCTCTGATATTATGTTAGGAAGGTCAGTCAAACAATTTTAGGCCCGTTTCAAATGTCGCATTTTAAATGAGCCGAATGCATTAAAGAAAAAAGAAAATGAGATAAAATTCCTCATTATCTTTTGTTTTAAATGCATTCGGCTCATGTAAAATGCTACGTTTGAAACAGACCTAAGGTGGTTTCGTCACGTGCATTGGGATGTAACTTTCTTAGATTGACTGACACAAACACAATGACGCTCGCCCGGAAAACTAAACTTTCAGTGAACTAAGAACTTTGTTCCTGTTATCTGAAGCAATAAAAAACGTAAGAAAGGTTTTTTATATGTTCGGGGAAGTAAACGCATGCTTCAAAATCAAGGAGAATAACGGAGGTTTAGCAGTCAGAGGTAAGTTTCGTAAATATCTAGGCGACAGAGAAAGATTTGGTAAATGTTTCAATTTATGCAGTAACTCGAATGGCTATAACATTTCCCCCTGACGCCTCAATGACGGCTTGAATCTGTGTCAATATGTTTTGCATAATGAAAGATAAAGACCATAGTGTGTTTAGTGTGAATTTTATAGACACCGGAGACTTTCATTTTCGCAATGTCGCAGTTGCTTCAAACATTCCAAAAATAATCTTTGATAAACGTTAAGAACATCATGTATAACAAAGGATTTAAAAACAATTAAATAATTGCCAATGCATATAGCGTGCACGATTATGTGAATGTATACATTCTACGCAATATCACAGAATAGATACATATGTGGCAATATCATGACTATTTACATGTAGGATACGCAGGTTGAGAGAGTCAAAGAATAAAGTTACTTGCCAGATTGAGCAAGGAACCAAACCTCCGCCATCCATCTTTCGAAGTCAAAGATTGTCTCCTGAAAATACGACCATAGATGGGGAGGATTAAAGCACAAATGGATTTTGAATTTAGCGTGTGGATGGTTGTAATTTTTACTATATGCCTTTCCAAATACGGAAATGGCAACGAACTGAGAATATTTCGTCGTGAACGAGATATATTTACCAACATATACTATTCAAGTTCACAAACTGAAAGAAATCATAGTCATGACTGTATGAAGTACAACGCTGAATGTCATTTCATCACTAAGTGTCGCTTTTGTGAATGTAAAGAGGGAACGAATACTTTTATTAAGAATAATAATGACAAGAATAACAGAGGAAGTTGCATCAAAGATGAAGAAGTGAATCTAGAATCAGGTATAATCTTATAGCGTTTTATCTTGTGCGAATGCATTTGACATTTTTAATAGTTTTAAGACTACTTATGTACTTTCATAAGGGTAAATTGTAATAACTACATTACTTTTTACTCAGGATAATTTAAGAGTAAATAAATGTAACATTAGTATGTAACATAAGCCTTTGGCGTTTGGGATATTGAAAAATTATTCCACATGTTTTCACTTTAAACCACTTCTATTCCATTCATTTTCGTTCAGTTCCGTTCCGTTCCATTCCTTTTCATTCTATTTTATACTCACATAAATAACTAAAACATTATCAAGATCGCGATGCAATTATACCATAAATTAGTTTAGCTGATGGTAAAAATATATCAGGTTCATGTTGCTATATTTTTTGTAGACTCAGACAATGATGAATTTACTCTAGAAAATACCGTGACAAACAAATGTTTAAAACAAGTTGGAAATTCTGTGTGGGGTACGACGTGTGGAAATTCCTTGGATCAAAAGTGGATACGTCTCAAGACAAATAATGAGCAGCTCATGAATCTAAAATCACTTCTTTGCATAAGTAGATACACCGTTGTAGTTGAAATGAGTCAATGTCGATATATTAACCTGAGATCGCAAAAACTGGAGTGCACGTACCAAACACATCTAGGAGCTACTTTCACTACGACATTTATTGCAACTTTCACTGACTACCTAGAACAAACTCCGAACGGAAGAGGATCTTTCGGTCATATACCGGTCAATATTGGAAAACACACCAAAATAAGACTGAAGTCAATGTCTGCGAGAAAAATACAGAATACAAAGGTGAGAATACAATGTTGTGAAAACATTCATGCAGTCCAGTTTCCGCCAATATTTTTGAGAAGAATGCAATTTTAACCATAGATACTAAAGTCCTACGTAATAGGTTGCAATGTCTGAGCATCCACGCAAAAACAACGATTACTTCATTTAAAAGTACAAGTCCACCAACCTGTTTCATGCTTAATTTACTCATTCACTACAGGTTGCTATCGCCTTTCTGATGGGAATTTCATGAAATATTTGAAATTTAACAACAATAGCCGGAATGTGGAAAAATTCTATGTTTCTGCGCCAATCTACGGAGAAAATAACGATTGCATTGTGGAAGAAAATTTCAAGTATACGAAAGATGGCAATGAATCATACGAAGCTGGTTAAAAAAATCTTTTTAAATTGTCCAGCACTGGCGAGGCTACGAAAGAAATCGAGGTAAAACCATCATACGAAACGACCCAATCAAGTTATATAGTAGCACAAGACGAAAAAAACATCGTTCCTTCCATATAAGTTTTGTGGGCTTCCCATATAGCGACATATTGTAAACAAGACATACATAAATGTTCGTTTCGTAAATTTCTGCATACTTTTACGGAAAAAAATTAAAAAGATGAATACCATTGAAAAGAGTGGAAAATTAGGAAAACAAAGGTCAAATCATACACAAACCACATTTTTTATTTAGATTAGAAACATGGATGCTCTACGACAATGGAATGGTTCATTATTGCAAATACAAATCAAATGTCGCGGACGGTTTAACAAAGAAGAACGTCATTGCTTTCTCATAAAACTACAATCTTTATTACCATTGGAACCAGAGGTTAGTTCAACATAACAAAACACGATAAATAGTCAACTATTCGGGTGGCGAGACTACAAACAATATATCTTGCAAGAACTTGTTCTTGTAAACCAATAAAGTTAATTGAGGTGACGTCAACCACACACCACACGTCATCAAATTTCCATCAATTTCAGTAACGATAATCAAAGAAGATCATTCGTAGCTTTAAGAAAAACAATATCATTTTGAGAGTTTACAACCCAGAGCAGAATAGTCTTTTATTCTGCATTCCTGCATTTTTAACAGGAAGTACCATCACCAAACACCAGTCCTTTACTCCCGAAGACTACTATACAAATTTCAATGACAGAAACAGGCAGGGAAAGTGTGAAAAAAGATCAAAATCAGATGGTAATACGCCAGACTTTAGCACAGAGATAGTCGCCCTGGTGGCGTAACTAAAAACAATATACCAAGTTTTCCCGATATAACGATACTCCCGGGTTCAAACCATTTACATTATTTTCAACTTATATGACACAATTAATGACATAAATTTACCACATCACTTTTCTACTCATGATCACATTCCCAACAACACTAGCACTTTGCACTGTCTTCATTACAACAATCCTAATCTTTTGCTTTTCATTGAGGCGATTTACGTACGTTTTAAAAAGCCTCAGCTGAACTCTGGTCTGTGAAGGCTTCTAAAGAACTTGTATTTTTTTCCTAATTTCTTTGATGTAATTGTGAATAGTAACACAATTGTAAACAGTAACACCTTCTAACCTTCTTTCGAATGCTTACGTTTATTCCTTTGTAGCTAAAAACAATATAAGATCACGCTTGCTTGTAAATAAACACCTAGCTTGATAATATAGAGTGGAAATATTCCTTTACATCTTGCCTTTTTCAGTTATAACTCGTAGCCAGTCGGCAACTGTAAACACAATACATTTCTATAGAAATTACATAGCGGGAGTATAACTTGCTGGCTAGCTAAGCTATTGAGCACAACTTCACTGTGGTTGACCGGGTTCTCTTTAAGTTACCTTTAATGTATGGTCATTTTATATTTTGCCATCTTCGGTTCGTGATGTGTTTGGTAGTGGGATTGATTTCTTAAAAACATTTCTTAGACAACATCAACAACCTCGAACAACAACGTCAACACAGACCCCGTCCCGATGACCACATCACCAACATCAAGTAGCAACCACACACTTCAACCCCACGAAGAACGTGAAGAAGGCTCATCTCAGGCAATTGCTATAGCAGTTTCTGTATCACTCGCAACTATTGTCCTTGTGTTAGTCTTGTTCTATTTTGTGTGGTATCGAAAACATATAAGGTATTAAACTGCTTCTTATGATTCTACTTTTCAAAGGATTATTTTACCTTTATAAACAGCAAAATAAACGAGTTATTGAATACAATGATACACACGTATATTGCAGCCACTGCACATTGCAAATCCAAAGCGAGAGAGTCAGTTCAATTGTCTTCAGGCTTCTTTGAGATCACTTACTGATGAATTATGCAAACTCTAGATGTTTGTTGACATCCAAGATGACCAGTTTTTCCAATACAACCTGAACATCATACTTGACTTCTGAATAGTTTGTCATTAGTCAACAACTAGTTGAAATAACCAATCTTTTGCAAATTGCAACCTATACTACATATTGCAATTTGCATTTACGTTAAAATTGGAATTTATGAGTACGAAAGTTTGGGTTTAATAATTGACCAACACTTATCTTGGAAGAGTAACACTGACAAAATTTGCAAAAAAGTAGCAGCCGGTATTTCTGCCCTTATAAAATTAAAGCAATACACAGACAAACACTTATCTCTATTTATAATGCCCTGGTGCATCCCTACTTCACATATTGCTGTGAAGTTTTAGGTGTATTGGGTGAATCTCAATCCTAAAGACTACAAAAGCTTCAAAATAGAGCTGCAAAACCTATTCTAAACATGGCCAATAATGTCGATCATTGTAACGCATTACAAGAATTGAAGTGGGAACCTCTTGAAATACTTGAGAAAAAACCAAAGCAAAGCTGATGATTAAATTATTAAAAAATGCAGGACCAAATTCACCTACTTGATTGTTTACCTATAGAAAAGACATCAGTGATTACAATCTACGCAATATTACAAGTTTTCTTGATGTTCCTATGCCTAGTACTAACTCCTTGAAGAAAACCTCTGCGTATGAAGGGGCTTCTGTTTGGAATTCAATTTCAAAAAAAATCAGAAATAGCAAAAGCGTGTCACTTTTTCAAAACAAAATTGCTGCTTGCGTTTTATGATTTGGCTTAACATGTAACTAAATTAATAAACTAAGCTCTGTAATTATTTAAACTTATTTTTCTCCTCTATAGCTGTTTTATTTTTTAGTAAATTTTGTAATCACTTTTGAACAAAAGCACGCCCCTCGTAAAAATCAACCCTAGTTGACGAGGCCAGCGTGTCAAAATAAAGACTTATTCATTCATTCATTCATTCATTCATTCATTCATTCATTCATTCATTCACTCACTCACTCACTCACTCACTCACTCACTCACTCACTCACTCACTCACTCACTCACTCACTCACTCACTCACTCCCTCGCTCGCTCACTCACTCATTCATTCATTCATTCATACGTACAGATGTACTACGAGATGCACTTCTACGATAAGATTAGTTTTTCTTAGTAAAAAAGTACAGTAAATACATAAATTAGGACACGTGAAATGTTTCTGATACAATATAATAGAATAAAAACTTATTATGTTTCCGTCAACAAAATTTATCTTTTATATTCTTTTAACAGTTCGAAAACTGAACGTGAAGTGCTTGACTCCCATGGTAAGTATATTCACTGAAAATGAAAGATAATGATGTATCAAAAATGACATCCCACAAACGAATGGAAAAATCGTCATTCTGATGATCGCTACACAGAAGAATAGTATGATTTGCCACAGCAAACGTGTTTCTTTGTTTTTCACTATAGAATTAGCAAACCAACGAGCCGGAAATCTCTTGGAAACTGAACCAACCGGAGTGGAAGGGAATATTTTTATGACCTTGACATCTCAGGGTGAAGAAGAGACGTATACGTATGTCAATGATGAAGAAGAAAACAAAACACAAAGTCGTATGTATGAGCAACCAGCTGGTGATTCTTATAACAAACACAACATAAAAACAACAATATTCGAAAGGCCACTCACACATCAAACAGCAAATAAAGACAACTATACCCCATTAATGAAAAACCGTACGAGCAGAGACTCGAACAGTCATTATTACCAGCGCTTGGAAAAAGAATCAATCCAAATCAATGGTAATAATTCCATGCTCTCTTTATCTCATGGCAATGAACAACCAAACCAAAGTGTTGAACCGGAGTGTATTAGTGATTACGTTATCCCAAATGATGCAGGGCCACCAACACATCAAACAGCAAATAAAGACAACTATACCCCATTAATAAAAAAGCGTACGAGCAGAGACACGAACAGTCATTATTACCAGCGCTTGCAAAAAGAATCAATCCAAATGAATGGTAATAATTCCATGCTCTCTTTATCTCATGGCAATGAACAACCAAACCAAAGTGTTGAACCGGAGTGTATCAGTGATTACGTTATCCCAAATGATGCAGGGACAAGCGTTCATATCAAAAAGCAACCAAAACCAGAAAATAGAACCTCGTATACTGGTGAATATGCTATCCCAAATGAAATTGAACACACGACAATTGCTCGCAATAACAATACGAATAACACAGTTAGAAAGGTCGCGAATTCTAACGATGAAGACCCATTTCAATTTGTTGAATCCAATGTCTACGGATATGAATCGTTGATGAAACATCGCAGGAGTAGTGACCACTACTACCAACACTTGCAATAGAATGGCAAAGAACGAACATACTGTGGAATTTGTTGTGAATATAAAACAAGTAATTTCCAACGTTGGGAGACCATTGCAAGAAATAACTTTTCAAGCTAACGAGGTTTTAACGGAGTGAAGCGACCTACATAAGCTACGATCGTAGAAATTTTATTTTTGACAAGGAGGCCAAATTTCCTTTTTCTAGGAAATTTGGCCTCCTTGTCAAAAATAAAATTTCTACGAGTTTATAAGCATGATTTTTTGTTTGCTTGAATGTTTTATAAAGCCGAATGCGTTTTAGAAATGTGCGAGTATTGATTTGTTTAAAATCACTAACTTTGCTTAAGCGCAAAAATAAGAACTGCCATTTCTGGGTTGTAGTCCAATGAAGTGAAATTTGCTTTTATTTTTTTATTGACTTAAAGAAGTATTTAAATGCTTGCAAGCAATTTGATATATATATCAGCTCATTTTACGCTGAGTGGAACTTAGCAATTGTTAATTGCAAAATTCGCCCTTGTATGCGAACTTATTTGGCTGCCATGTTTCCTCATTTGACGTCATGTAAGTAGTACGGAAGTCGCGCCTCGCGAAGCTAATGCAGTAATTTCTAACAGACAAACCCGCACTTTTCATGGCTACGAAATCGGTCAAAATGCCAATTTCAATTCTTTTTTTCATAAAAATGATTTTAAAGAGCATGTACTTTTTAAGACACCATTAATACAGAATGTAAAAATTTCACTGTATTAGCACTTAAAGAACAGCGTGTTTATCAGGAATGAACAAAGACACAGGATGTTAACAAATATACAAACATGAGACGATGTTTACAACAACCAAATAATGCAAATATCGTGACTCGTGCAAATGCATGCAATGTATTTAAATTGCAAAACGCAAAGAAGAAACGGTTGTTTAAACAAGGAACCGCACCACAACAGGACCATTGAAACAGAAAAGCACAAATGGATTTTAAATTTAGTGTGTGGAGGATGCTTTTAATTTTCACGATATGTTATTTCAAATGCACCAATGGCAGCAAACTGAGAATATACCGTCATGAACGAGATATATTTACCAACTTAGACTATTCAAGTGCACAAACTGAAAGAAATTATAGTCATGATTGTATGAAGTACAATGCCAAATGTTATAACATAACTGGGTGTCATTTTTGTGAATGTAAAGATGGAACGAATACTTTTATTATCGATAACAATGACAAGAATCGCAGAGGAAGTTGCATCAAGGATGAAGAATTGCATCTGGAAGGAGATCTAACAATTAAGTAAACAACCACAAATATACCTTGAAAAGTATCACATCCAGGGAATTGCGAGAGAAACTGTGTATTGACAAGGTTTATGATCGTTTCGATGTAAAATAAAAAATAAATTATAGTATCTCAATGGTGAATCAGGAGAACCATTAAAACCGTTCAACTGCATGCTTTTGAATTTCCGAAGAATTAAAGCTTACAAATCGAATTGCTTTCAAATTATTTTGACGATAACACTACCAAAAATGAGATGCAGTAAGTTTTGTCTGGAAATACTTCAAAAATTCTTTCCGAACTTACCCAATGGGAAAAGTGTTTCCTTAACAATAAAAATCACATTGTGAATAAACCGTTGTTATAAATCTCTTTCTTGACTTCACGATTAAAATAATATTCTCTTTAAATCGTAAAGTTTTTCTTTCTCTACACTGGCAACTATCCACGGAACATTGTCCACGTGCGACTATGCACGGAAAATAACATGAACTTGACGTAGCTTTAAAATCAACTTGCGGAAAATATGTCAAACATATCCCTCAATTTCCTGTTGTTGTCGTTTTTACAGACTACGACGATGATGCATTCAATCTTCAAAATACGGTGACAAAGAAGTGTTTGAAACAATCTGACGTGTTTGTGTATAGTACGTCTTGTGGCAATTCATTGGATCAGAAATGGATACGTCTTGACACAGTCAATAAACAACTGATGAATGTGAAATCACTTCGTTGTATCACATTGGGAGGAAAAGATGCACCAGTAACAATGCAATCATGTCAAAAATCAAAATCGGATTTTCAAAAACTAGCGTGCTACCAAATTAACAAGAAAGCAAGAATTTTTTGGACGTTTCTTACTTCGTTTCTAACAGAAGATCAGGCTGGAGTAGGTGTTTCGGGGTACAATCGCGGTCAGTTTTGGAAAGCACATCAAAATACGGTGACGAAGAAGTCACTGTATTCGAAGAAGTCGCGGCTATCGTTTTTCTGATGGCAATTTCGTGAAAGCGCAAACGTGGAAAAATTTCATATTTCTGCACCGATCTAAGACGAAAATGACAATTGTAAAGTGGAAAAGAAATTCACGTTTACAAAAGACGGCAAAGAAACGTACCAAGAGGATTCAAAAAATCTTTTTACAATGAACAGTGTTGACAAGATTACCAAAAAAATCGAGGTAAAAACGACATGAAAAAGACACCTGGTGTCACAAGACTTACAAAACATTGTTCAATAACAACATTTGTTATTTAGATCAAAAACATGGACGCTCTACGACGATGGAATGGTATGTTATTGAGAATCTATATAAGATGCGGGAAGTCGTACAGCATGAAAGAAACTCACTGTATTCTGCTAAAACTGCCAACATTATTGGCATTAGGGCAGGAGGTAAGTTTTTTGACGTAGCATGGGTAGCACAACCTAAATCATTTTGCATTACAATAGATAGTAAAGAAGACAACGGACAACACGTCATTCTTGTACTATACGTCACCAAATTTCGTAAATTTTAACATTTAGAAGAGAACATTTATGGGTTCAGGATAAGCTAATGCTAATCATTATAAAGGACTAATAGCACAGCAAAATGGTTTTTGCTTAAGAAATAAAAGATGTTTGCTGTGTGTGCACGGCCTCATGTAAAACGAGGGGAGACCTATGGGAGAAATCGAGAGCTGATCATTGCAAGGCCGAGACCGAAGGTCGAGGGTTAGGCTCTAAAATGTATTCATGATAGATTTGCAAATTCTCTTTGACTGATTGTTGTTTTGATTGATTTGATTGGTTGAGCTCAGATGTGCTTTACGCAGGCAAATGCAAACACGGCTCTAGACCAATCACTGCACGCGTTCTATAGTTTTTATTTTATAACAATACATAGTGTATACTATACCATTACAGGAAACTTCATCAACGAGCACTAGTCCACTACCCAGAAAAGGTGTGAAAGGTACGGCAAAATCCGAAGGTACCACGTCAGTCTTTATCGGAGGGATAGTCCTACCAGTGGTAGTGATGATTTTGAAATAAGGCTGCTACTTTAAATTTGTGTCTATGAATTTAAGCATGTCAAATCTTGAATTTACACGATGATATGTTTCTCAAAGAATTTTCTGTATAATTCTTAAAATATCAAAGGATTTAGTAAAGCATGAATCCAGGGATGTGTGAAACTCTCGAAGCGAGGCACAGAAAATTGGTGACAAGCTCACATCCAGGTAAAATGGTTACCCACTTCACCTCGCGATATTGAAGACGCTTTTCTTAATATTGAAGTACATTGAAATGATCTCGATTGATTAAGAATTTATGTGTAATTGATTGCAAGAAGAAAGCTCAGAAATTATATTAAACCTGTTTTCAGTAACGGCAAGTGTTTGGTTTGAATGCGTCACACCGCGGCCATGACTAATGGGTTGAAGAAGGGAAGTACACATGTAACGGTGATGTTACTAATATTACATTTTACACTGGTTCAAGTATTTCATATCATAGGAGTGGAGTCAATGTGAATTGATAACAAAGGCTCATTTCATCTCACTATATGAAAAACAGAGATGAAGTTTCTATAAACTTAAGCTAACTACTATAAAGTCTCATTTTAACAAAAGGTATTGTTAATAAAATGATAAATAAATCTATATTGACACACCGACACTCCTCGACAGCTCTTACTAAATATTGAAAAAAGCTTTAATGAACTACAAAGAAACATAAACAATCCCTCTGATATTATGTTAGAAAGGTCAGGCAAACAATTCAAGGCCCGTTTCAAATGTCGCATTTTAAATGCGCCGAATGCATTAAAGAAAAAAGAAAATGAGATAAAATTCCTCATTATCTTTTGTTTTAAATGCATTCGGCTCATGTAAAATGCGACGTTTGAAACAGACCTAAAATAGTTTCGTCACGTGCATTGGGCTGTAACTTTCTTAGATTGACTGACTCAAACACAATCAGAAACAAAAACCAAAGTGTTCACCAAAGTCTAAAAGAATACAATAAAAGATCCACACAAGTACCTGATCTGAAGCTCAAAAATGGAAAATGACGCTCGCCCGGAAAACTAAACTTTCAGTGAACTAAGAACTTTGTTCCTGTTATCTGAAGCAATAAGAAACGTAAGAAAGGTTTTTTATACGTTCGGGGAAGTAAACGCATGCTTCAAAATCAAGGAGAATAACGGAGGTTTAGTAAAAATTCAACCAGACAGAGAAAGGAAAGTTTCATAAATCTAGCAGTCAAAGGTAAGTTTCGTAAATGTCTAGGCGACAAAGGAAGATTTGGAAAATGTTTCAATTTATGCAGTAACTCGAATGGCTATAAAATATCCCTCTGACGCCTCAATGACGGCTTGAATCTGTGTCAATATGTTTTACATAATGAAAGATAAAGACCATTGTGCGTTTAGTGATAATTTTATAGACACCGGAGACTTTCATTTTCGCAATGTCGCAGTTGCTTCAAACATTCCAAAAACAATCTTTGATAAACGTTAAGAACATCATGTATAACAAAGGATTTAACAACAATAAAATAATTGCCAATGCATATAGCGTACACGATTATGTGAGGGGGTGTTTACATGAATCTGGCAGCAAGATAAACTTGCTACACTAAATGAGGGTAGCAATGTACAACTCAAAAATCTTGGCGTTATTACTTGAAAAGTTGAAATATTTATCCTGAGACGACCAAATCAAAGCTGTGCTTTAATGGGAACATACAATCAACATATTTTTATGCTTTTTCATGTACAACCAATGTGTACAATTCTATCGAGACCTGTATGAGAAATGCTGTGCCGTGGCCGTGTGGTCAAGGTTATTCGTATTTATTTATTTGTAAAGAACGGAAGCGGAGAAGCGCTTAACGAACGTCTTTAAATCAGAAACAAGAAGGAACAATGTGAAATTTATCAACGGACGGGCTACACTAAAAAAGATATTTCGTATGACATTGGATTTGGTGCTTTAGAATTCAGACAAATTTAGTCATATCCCGAACACTCGATAAATGTTCATTGAGAAATTGCAAACTTGTGCAATTGTATTTAATGCCAATGCCATATTGTGTTGGGAAAATTCTTATATTGTATGATTGTAGCTAACTTCCAGATGCTCTTATCTACATGTTCCTTATATTTGTCATGTTTTAGATAATTTAAAGTATTGATTCCGTTGTAAGGAAATAAAATTTTCCTCTTGCTTCTATTAATATATATATATTATTTTCGTTACATCGCTGTCGCTGCATTAATTTTCTGATTAATTTTCAAGTTAAATATGCTACACAAATATTCAGCCACACCGTTGCTGCATCGATTTGCACATATTCATCAATTGGAGCACTACCACCATCAGCCTTGGGTACAGCTGAGTTGCTTTTCAAATTTGATTCGCTTTTTGATTGCGTCAATAGTTCCACACTGAAATCAGCAAATGAACAAAGAAGTGCAATAAGCAACAGCAATAATCACATTGCTTTTCTCAAAGAAGCAATGTCCTTTATCCAGGGAATCAAAGTGGTAAAAGATGGTAAAAACATCACAGGCAGAATCAAATCACTGAAGGGATGGCTTATATCTATAAAGGCCATTATCTGTCTCTGGACCTATCTTCATGCCTCATATAATTTTGCATTCTTGCTTACCAGAAGATTAATCACAGATGCTCTAGAGAATTTTTTTGGAACAATATGCCAGCAATGAGGTAATTCTGACAATCCCATGCCAATACAATTTATCAGAGCTTTTCGAAAGATTTTTATCAGTTCACTTTTGACCTCTTCCAAAGGAAACTGTTCTAAAGATATGGACACTCCGCTAACACAATTTTCAAAAAAAAAGCCCAAACCATTTAGTATGCCACTTACCCATGCAAAAGCTCCAAGTAACTCACTGTTGATTGGTGAAAATGACTACCAAGAACAAAATATTAGCAACAATTTATTGCTCAAAAATGCTGCCTATGTTTCAGGATATTTGCTAAGCAAAGCTTTCAAAATCCACAGCTGTCTCCAATGTAAGAACGTATTAACTTCAAATAACACAAAAAATGATGGTAATTTGCTTTGCTATTTCAAGGCATATAAAGAACTCAACTTTGGTGGGTTGACTGCTCCTTCATCGTGCTATTTAAATTACATTATGCAACTTGAAGACACCTTCGTGGATTGCTTCTCAGTCACAACCAAAAATCTGAATGTTGGAAAGAGCATCTTGAAGAGTCTTAACATGATACCAGTGCCATTCCGTACATGTTCACAGTTTCCACTGCAATATTTGGTGAAAATTTTTTTAAAAATGCGAATTTATTACGGCATCAAATTTGCAAATCGCGAGTTTTCCTCTTCTAATAAAAGATCGCGAAAGTACATTAAAGTCAAGCATTTGTAACATTCTACAAACTTACTACAAGGAAAATTCCATAGACAAAGTTGATGATCCTTTTCATTGTAACTCGCAATACAAGCATAACCATGATTGAATGTTGGCAAGTTGGCAAAAGCATCAGACCACAATAACAAAATTTTGACTCTAAAACGTGTATTCTAACGATGCGATTCGACCTAAGTTGTCAAAATTACCTTCTTTGACATTGCTCGTGATGGCATACACAAAACAAAAATGGAATAGCCATATAATTATCGAGGACGCGCCGAACTGTTTCTCATTACTATATTTTCTATAACGAACTTGCTGGAGTTATCTTGCTGCCAACATGGCGGCGATGCCTGATTGCGGGCTAAAAGTTGACAACAAAATCTTCAAAGGCTCCGACGAGAGTGGACCATTGAGCTCTATAAAACCTGGAGGGGCAAAGGGGCCTGGACCCCGTGGTCAAAAACATGGCGGTAATGGCGGATTTTGGTTGTCAAAACTTCCACTTTGAGAAAAATATTTAACATTCGCTCCCTCCCGAATCCGGATCTCTATTACTGCTTATATTAATGACAACCAGCGAAAACAACCACGATACCGTAAGCATAAAATATTGAAAATAATGCTTCAGATTTTTGTGAAATAGACACACACATTTAAATGAGGTAAATCTACTGTAAAATAACGTATATTTTGTCAAGTAATGCTTTAGCTATGTTAGAATTAAATATCAAACGGCATTCTTTACACTGTCAATGTGTCGTTAAGCTTTAATGCATAATCCCATGCGCATTACTTGTGTTTTTGACTGTTTGTTAACAGCTTGGTGCAACTGTCTTTCTTAAATAGATGGGTAAATCTTAGTTAGAATGTCCAAAAAGGAGTTAGAAAAAGTTAGCTTACCCCTACGACTTAAGTCGACTGGAAATATATTATAAGTAGGTATGTAATTTTTTTGAGGTTTTTTCGGTAGGATTGATTCTGGGTGTCTTATAAGGTATTATGATATTCTGATAAATCTACTGAGAACTTATGAGGAAAATATCTTGAACTAGGAGAGCAAAAGAACGAAATTCAGAAAATCATGTTGCTGGTTCTGTTTTGAGCCAAGATATTAGAAACTGGATTGTCATTGACAACCATGGATCTACTACTGAACAGAACTACATTAATTTCCCATTGAAAATACTATTTCTTAAATTAAAGTGCATTGGTTTCTCTGACATAACACTTTTCTTATTGCTGCATGAAAGCAAACCTGTTTAAATAATTATAATGTAGGTGAAGATATTTAGCATGTTGTATAATTGTTATTGTACAGACATTTATAATATTATGGCCTTGTGTAATGTATGTCAAGAACTTATTAATTCTCAAAAATGCTAACCTTCTTGCACTACTTTTCTTTTGTGTCCTTACAAATTACAGTTACCTATACTAATTTTTTCTAGGTTCAAACAACTTGACAAACTTTTGAATTTTACATTATGCCTTTGAATTTTTCTTTTTGTCTTTTGGTAAAAATATCAGTGAATGACTTAAAAATCAAGTCTATCTAAAATAGTATTTTGTACAAAGTAACTATACATAATTGGAAAAGTCTCATGTTGAAGACAGATGTCACTTCTTTTACTACATTGCTACTCTTATTCTTTTAAATGATATCGTAATTCTTCAAAAGACATAAAAAGTTCTTTGCCATCAATTTTTGCTTCTTCCACATTCAACTTCATTGCAACAGATGCATCTTATGTGAATTTTTAATCACCTGGAATTGAAAAACGTATGGATTTTGTCAGATGATGCAGTACTAACTATATTTAATGTTTCATGCATGTCATGATAAGCTTTTCTTGAGCAAATATTTCAAGGTAGGAGCAAAATTTAGCACATTATTGAACAAAGTAGTTTTTATCTTGATTTTGATGTACTAACCTGTTTACTACACTGTACAACAAACAATTCATTTACAGAAACACCAGATGGTATTTATAAAACTTTTAGCATAAAGCAAACCTTTACACACCATCATCATGATTGTCCATAATCTGTCACATTGTCCAGGCTAGCTGTTTAATACAAGTATTTTTTATTGTACGACATGTACCAAAGAGTTCATTAATTAATCCCGCACTGCATTTGATTTCAATACAGCTCTGTCCTTAATATTTGCTTCATATTTTCAGAAAAATATCATGAAAAAATCCTCCATTTCAACTCAGTTGAAACAAGGAGTTTTACAATATGCATATCTCGATAAGAACTGGTTGCTTTGCCTCGTCTAGCAAGCGATTAAGTAAAGAACAAATAAGAATGGATAAACGTAACTTAAATTATAACTTAGGAGTAAAAACATTCACAAAATATATACCATCACACTTCAAGTATTGACTTAAAACAAAACACTGAACACTTTAAATAGTAAACAATCTTACGTTGCTTACCGGTGTCATGAAATGTTTCCTTTTCTGGCATTACTTCAGCATCCGCATACCAAACAAGTTTGCAGCATGTTTTAAAGATAAAATTTCTAAAAGTTTTTGTGCTTGGCATTGAAATTTTATATAATCGCAATTGTGGTTGTCAAATCCGGGTGGGCGAAAAAAATTTCATTTTATGAGCCCGCGTCTTTCCGCTGACTTTGACAACCAAAATCCGCCATGTTTTTGACCACGCGGCCGCGCGCTGATAATTTATAGTAATTTTGTTGACGTTTCCCCTCCAGTTATTATAGAACTCAATGGAGTGGACTTCTGTATGTATCTATTCTGTGCGTAGGTTGAGAGAGACACAAAGAATAAAGTTTGCTAGCCAGATTGAACAAGGAACCAAACCTCCGCCATCGATCTTTCGAAGTCAAAGATTGTCTCCTGAAAATACGAACATAGATGTGGAGGATTAAAGCACAAATGGATTTTGAATTTAGCGTGTGGATGGTTGTAATTTTTACGATATGCCTTTCCAAATACGGAAATGGCAACGAACTGAGAATATTTCGTCGTGAACGAGATATATTTACCAACATATACTATTCAAGTTCACAAACTGATAGAGATCATAGTCATGACTGTATGAAGTACAACGCTGAATGTCATTTAATCACTAAGTGTCGCTTTTGTGAATGTAAAGAGGGAACGAATACTTTTATTATGGATAATAATGACAAGAATAACAGAGGAAGTTGCATCAAAGATGAAGAAGTGAATCTAGAATCAGGTATGATCTTATAGCGTTTTGTAATGAAAGTCCACAATCAACAAATATACATAGAAATCTAAGCGGCATTGATTACCGTCTACCATCACATCACAGGATTTAGGTCGCTTCCACCTACACATGATAGGGTGTAGTGACGTACATAACGTACGTACAATATTTTATCCAGAACAATGTCTGAGATCAAAGGAAATAGCCCACCCTAGTTTTACTGAAACGCATAACTTGACCTGTTAACAACGTAAAACTATATGTTTGTAAATGATGATCGTCCAGGTTAATAAAGTCCTGAGAAGGACTGTTTTTGTTGTTGTTGACTGACGTTTCGACAACCTTAGCGGTAGTCATCTTCAGAGTCAAATGAGGAGTAAACGTCAGGTTAGCCGTATTTGTTATCTGGTTCTTACGTCATTGTATTGTGTGTACAGGAAATGTGCAGGAAATGTGTATTGTCATTGTGGATTAGTGTGAAGTGAAATATTTTATTTTTAGTTGTGATGTGTGATTTAGGTGTGACGTTTTTAGTTGTAGTGTGTGGGTGTCAATTGTGTATTGTCATTGTGAATTAGTTTGAAGTGTAATGTTTTTAGTTGATCGTTTGTTTGTATTGTGAATAAGTTGTTTGTAAGGTGCCGGTAATTGCTGTGATCTGTTCAGGGGGGTTTGTTCCAAGTTGGTATACCAACTTTCTAATGTAAGCCGTTGTCTATAGTCAGTACTGTAAGTGATGCATTTTGCCGAGTCCCAGTCAATGTTGTGCTTTGTGATTCGGTGATGTTCGGCAATGTGATTAGTTTTGTCTTGTTTCTTAGTAGCTCGTTTGTGCTCAGTAAGTCTTATGTTTAAGTTCCTGCCAGTTTCCCCGATATAGGAGGCGTGGCAGTCGGAGCAGTTTATTTTGTAAACTGCACCTTGTCGTTCGTTGGGTTGTTCTTTGTCCTTTATGTTCGTTAGTACTTGTCGTAACTTTGTGATTGGTTTATGTGCGACACGTATGTTGTATGGTCGTAAGATACGCGAGATAGTCTCAGACGTACCTTTGATGTAAGGTATCGTTGCTGTTGTCACTGAGTTCGTTTCGTTGGGTTCGTTGGGTTTGTAAGTGTTGCGTTTGATAAAGTCAGAGTTATAGTTGTTTTTGTCAAAAACACGTTTGAGATAGTTGTTTTCATTTTGTAGAGCGTCCGGTGAATCACATATGATTTGTGCACGTCTTGTTAATGTTCTGATTGTGGTGGCTTTGTGTGATGTAGGGTTGTAAGATGATTGGTCTAGTAGTCGGTCGGTATGTGTTGGCTTGCGATAAACTGTTGTTCCTAGTTTTTGATTGTCATGTTTTACCAAACAGTCGAGAAAAGGAAGAGTTCCGTTTTCTTCGACATCTTTGGTAAATTGTATGTGGCTGTTCTGTTTGTTGATGTGAGTATGGAAGTCATCAATCTCGTCTGCATGTAGTGCTGTGATTGTGTCATCTACGTAGCGAAACCAAAAAGATAGTGCATGTTTGTAAGTCATGAGTGCCCGTTCCTCTATAGATTGCATTACAATTTCAGCAACTACAACAGAAACAGGCGAGCCCATTGCTGTCCCATGTAATTGTTTGTAGTGTGTTCCTTTGTATTGGAAGTAAGTCGAGGTGAGGCAGAGCTCTAGTAACTCCATAATGTCTTCTGTCGGTAATGGCAGTACGTCCGTGGTGTTTGTAATGAGGGTTTTTGTACAAGTAAGTGCCAGATTAAGTGGAATACTGGTGAACAGTGATTTCACATCAAAAGACACTAGTATATAGTTGTCCGGTATTTGTATAGTGCACAGTTTTTAATGAAAGTTTCAGTGGATTGTAGCTTGTGTTTGATTTGTTTGTAAGTGATTGCAGTATGTTAGTCAAGTACTTTGAAAGTTCGTAAGTAGGCGAACCACAGAATGATACAATTGGTCGCATGGGTATTTGTGGTTTGTGAAGTTTTGGTAGTCCGTATAGTCTGGGTGGTCGTGGTACGTAGACCAATCATCTTACAACCCTACATCACACAAAGCCACCACAATCAGAACATTAACAAGACGTGCACAAATCATATGTGATTCACCGGACGCTCTACACAACGAAAACAGCTATCTCAAACGTGTTTTTGACAAAAACAACTATAACTCTGACTTTATCAAACGCAACA